CAGGAGTCCGAGGTGAGTATCTGTCTCCTTGCTTTCTCTTTTTGGGGGATGTGTTGAAGTGTGCTTTGAGAGGAGCCCAGCAGTGGCTCTTGGCCTTAAGGAATAAGCCCAGGTGTGTGTGGTAGGAGTGGAAGGAGCAGGAATTGCTGATAAAAGCTGCTAAAACCTGACTGTTCATATTCTGTGTTTTCCTTTGACGTGTCTTAAAGCTTTAACAGCGTGGTCAGGCTTTGAGGTTCATCGAGGAGAAAGGGGCTCGAACAACTCTTCCTGTGCAGGAAGTCAATGCTGACCCTGAAGAAACCAAGCCTGAATCAGAGAGTGTTGTTTGACCCATGGCAGATAATGGGGATGGTTAAAAACAACCAAGCACAAAACATTTTTTTTTCTGGAACTTTGTGAAGGCAAAGTCAGGTTAGAAATTCTTTCCTGTCTGCTGAGAATTGGTTTTACTTTTGGTGGTCAAATAAGAGAGAAGTCAAGAAGACAGTTCTGACATTTCCTTCTGAAAACTCCAGGAGCACCCAGCAAATTCACCACTGGTTTTGTGTTTGCTGGTTTGTGGCTGGTTAGACTGTGTCATAATGATCAGTAAAGAGAGGAACTGCGCAAGTACAAATTTTTTTCCTGACCTTTTTTTCTCTTTGGTAAGTTCTTTAGTAGCTGGTTAATGTTTCATTAACATTGGATATTTTCCAACATTTCCAACTGTAGAAACTGGTAATTGTTAACTCCTTCTTGTCTCTCTGCAACACCCCTGCATGAAGGGTCCACTGTAAATAAAAAGAGCTTTTTGAGCAAACTTTCGAGATAAAACCACATCCCCAGGTGGAGAAAGTTCAGAGAACAATGACAGGGCACCTTCAGCCATCTCTGTGCTAAAACCAACCTTCTGCTAAGTTGTGTTTTAGGTTTTTTTTTATTGTCTAATGACTTATCTTGTTGCTGAAGGCCCTCTTTGTCATCCTGCTGCTGCACCTGCACCTCTGTGACCTGTGGCTTTTACAGGCTCTGTCATTTTTGAATTGTTCTGTTGGAACCCTCTGGATCCTGAGGTGTTTGATGTTACTGTTTTACTGAGGTGAATCAGCTGATAATAAATTTATTAATAAAGTGATAATAAATTTACTGAGGTAAATAAACAGCTGTGAAAACAGGTGAAGATCTTGAGGAGGGAAAGGAGTTCAGTATTACTGTTGTTCAGTAAGTTTGTCATTAGGAGGAGGGATTTATTAGTGTTGAGGCAGCAATTGCTCCAAAGATGTTTTTGCAAAGAAATATCTGTCCTCCAGCCCCATAATTACGTGACTTTCAGTGACTTCACTTGCAGGTAGAAGCTGCTGTAGGTGAGCTGCGAGCTCTGCACAGCCAGCTCAGCACCAACCAGGGCCACCCATCTACCAGCTAGAAATGAAATATTTGGGTGCTGCCATAGCAGGGTGTTTAATGTCTGCACCAAGAGTGTGTTCCACAGAGCCTGAAAAAAACTGCTCCTCTTGGACGCGTCTTTTGGTGCGTTTTGGAAGCCGGGTTTGTCACCAGGTGGCAGCATGGGAGAAGGAAAGGCTTGATGTTCCTCATTCTGGAAACCACCAGGGTCGTCCTTATTTTCCTAAGGACGTAGTAAAGCTTCTCTGATGCTTAATTGCCCACAAGTCTAAAATGCAGCGAAACACCTCTGGGTACAGGATTTCCCACTAGGCTGAAGTGTTTTATGACTGTGGAAAAGTAACGCGGTGGTCAAGAGTAGTTCAGTGCCCTTTCCTGGGCATTTGGAGTCCTGGTTCACCGAGGTTATCAGCGGCTGCTGGGAGGTGGAGCTGTGATGGGGAGGGGAGCGGGAGTGCAGAGGGGCTACAACAGCGGAGGAGGGGGGCTGTGAGGGGAGGCTGGGGCTGTAAAGGGAGGCTGGGGCTGTAAAGGAAGGTTGGGGCTGTAAAGGGAGGTTGGAGTTCTGTGCACTTGGCGCTGACACAAAGTGACAGCTGGGAAGAGCCTTCTGCGGGTGGGAGGTGGGATAAACTCAGATGAAAAAACGAAGAAACTTCCGTGTGCTGTGATGATCAGTTGGAATAAACCCTCCCAGGCACATGTTAATTATCCCTTTACCAGGTGATGTGCCAGAACCCCAGTGGCCTGTGTCCAGAGCCAAATGATTCTGCAGAGTCAGGACACTGGCCCTGTGACCTCCTGCCCCCGAGCCCCCAGGGCTCTGAGCCCCTTCCTGTGCCTGGCACACACACACTGCTGTCCCTCACCCCAGTTCCCTCGGGAGGGCAGTGACCCCTTCCCAGTCTGGGGTTGGGCAGTTTCTCAGTCCCTCTGCTGAGACTTGAGTGACCAAATGTGAAGAAGGCAATTCCCAAGGCCAAACCTGGCCCATGAACACGGTGACAAAGCACAACAACTTGGACTTTTGGGGGGGGGATTCTGTGCCAACCTGACTTTACAGGATCAAACCTTTTGCCAGTGGGGTGCTGAGATCTGGGAAGCAAAGGAATAGTGTGATTTAGCACTTTGTAAGCATTGGAAACATGGAATATCCTGAGCTGGAAGGGACCCAAAGGATCACCATGTCCAACCCGTGGCCCTGCACAGGACACCCCAGGAATCCCACCATGACTTCACACAAGCAGTTACTGTCTTGCTTTCCAGGGATTTCTGTGCTAGAAAGAAAAGCATTTGCTGAAAGATTATTTAAAATTCACTATGAAGAGCTGAAAGTTTAAAATATTCTCATTATGGTAGGATGTTTACCAAGGAAAGCCATCCAACCCTCTCCATAGGGAAATCCTTGCTGAATTGGCCACTGTGATTTTTTTTCTTTTAAATTTTATTAAAAATTAATGCATGTTACATTTTCAAGTGTAAATACTGAAAAATAGCCTATGGCAAAACGAAAAGGCACAGGATTAAAACCAGCTTAATTGTTTCCATGGATACATGTTTTGCTATTTGGCAAAAAGTATTTTATACACTTTCTACAAGAATAAGCATCATTTTAAATATATCTCTGAAGGGTGGGACCCTGTAATTTAACCATGAAGACAGAATTTGTACTTCTAAAATGTGATAATTCTAGTGATATGTCACTTGAAGGTTGTTCTTTGGAGCAGAGGAACTCAAGTGCAGGAGGAGAGTGCAGCAGGCATCTCGACACGGGGCTCACTGCGTGACATGTCACGACAAATAGCGATCTCTGACAGCAAAGCAAAGTGCAGGGGGACACACAGCAGAGTTTACAGCAGCTCTAACCTGATTTGGGGAAGAATGCACCAGAAAGTGGATCAGAACACTGGGAACGGATCAGTGAAACACCTCAGACAGGTTTGCTGAGCCTCAGAAGGTGGAGCTGGCGTATTAAAATTATTGTTCCTTTCTGAAAAATAGACTCGTGGCTGTTTGTTGGTTTTGTTTCGCTTAAGAATTAGTCCTTGTAACCCTGATGTCTTGATAACAGTCGGGATGTCGTTGGAAACAGTCGCTCTGGCCGGGAACACCCCGTGGGCTCTGGCCCAGCCCCGGCTCCCTGCGATCCCCGTGTGCTGCCCGGGGGCACTGGGACAGCTCAGTGCCTTGGGGCTGTGATTCCCACTCCAGCAGCTGCCCCCTCAGCCCTGGCTGGGGCTGAGCAGGAGAACACCAGGCACGTCCCTGCCAGGAGCCGTGTGTGGTGGCACCGGAGCGGGTCACCCCCCGTGTCCCTGGGTTACCACACCCGGCATTTCCCCGCGGGGTGCATGGCTGTGCCCTTCTTACAGTGGAACACCTCGGAGAAGGCTTCAAAGTTCTGCAAGGATCCCATCACCCTAAACAAAGGGAAGACACTTATTAACATGAAGGCCCAGTGCATGTGCTCTCCAGCCATGGCAGAAATCCTGAAAGCTAGTCTGGATTTATCTGCTGTGTTATAAAACTCTCCTTCTGGGTTGTCTTGGTGCAAGGGGGTGAATGAAGCGAGTTCTGGGTCAGTAAGTACCCACCTGTACTTCAGAGGGCTGTGCACGTCTGTCTTTATGGACTGGCTGGCATATTCTGGTCTGTAGGAGCCACACCAAACCTGGACAGGGAGCATTAATAATCAGTGGGTCAGGGTTTCAGGGAGTTCATTTTGGGAACATTCTCACTGGTTTTCAAAGTTTTCCCAAGAGCCATCCCAGTTTGTTATGATATCACTGGAGTATGTTTTATAGAGAGGTAGAATAGATATAAGTATTTACTAATTAATTTTTGTTTTACAAGGTCTTGGATCAAGATCTGATGCTTTGGGATCAATCTATCAGCAGGTGGTTTCACCGGGTGTTTCCTTCCTCACATGAACTGAAGTCTGAGAGCCTGGGGCACCACCCTGACTGTTCTTACCTGGGCAAAATTGAGGAAGAAAAGCTGTTTGTGGGACAGGTTCAGTCCAGGAAGCTTTGGTTCCTTCCCTTCCCGTTCCAGCCACTTCAAATAGGCCTGGAAATGATCATAAATCCAACTGAGAGGAGCAGCAGGAGGGGGATATTGAATGTTTTATTGGGGTGGGAGGCTTTAGCCACAATATGAGTGAACCCAACATGTTTCCCTTCCGTACTTCTGTGGGTTTTCTCTCTCTGATACAAATAGTACAGAGAATTTTATGACAAAGCTGTCAGCATAAGCTCCGTTGACTTCACTGATTCTTTCCACAGGAATTTGTATCTGGAAATAAAGTGTTAAGTCTCCTCCACGGCTCTAGTGATGATTTTTCTCTCTTCAGGTAACTGCTCATAAAACCTTGCTCAATGTTAAATCCATTACCTCTTATTGTTACACATTAATTGGCCAATTTGCTTTTTTTAGCTGTATTGACATGATGGAGACAAGTTAATGTGTCCTCACGCTGGTTAATTCCCAGTGTTCTGTTTCTGCAGCCTGAGATAGTCCCAAAGCACATGAAACAAAAGGGAGAGCTGAGGGTAAAAATAGATCCAGCACCACAGAACATCCCAGGATTCTGTAAGCAGGCAGTTTGTGTCATCCCACTCTGCTCCTGCACACCTGTAATGGCTTTTGAAACAGTTCTAACAAAGTCATTAATTGGAATGTTGTCCCTCAGGGTCAGAAATGTCAGTTAAGATTCCT